TGTGTGTGTGTGTGTGTGTGTGTGTGTGTGTGTGTGTGTGTGTGTGTTCTGTGCTGGGGGCTGAACCTAGAGCCTTGCACATGTCAGGCAAGCACTCTACTTTCCTTCTAGTTTTAACTTTGGCCACTTTACATGACGTGCCTATCTGTTTTATGTTTATTTGTGTGGATATGTGTTTGCGCATGTGTGCACGTAGAAACCAGAGGCTGACATGCTGGGTGTCTGCCCTGATTGCTCTCTACCTTATACAAGGAGGCGGGATCTTTCCCTTGAATCCAGAATTTGCTAATTTGGCTATTATAGTAAGCCAGCTTGCCTCTGGGGATCCACTGTCTCTGCCTGCTGAGTGCTGAGGTTACAGGCCCAGCACTCATGTGGGTGCTAGGGGACTGGACTCTGTCCTTGTGCCCTTCGGCCAGCACTCTCCTTCCTTTGTAAAGCAGAGACATAATGATTTTTTGTTTGTTTGGTTGGTTTTTCAAGATGGTTTTATTGAGTAGCCCTGGCTGTCCTGAAACTCACTCTGTAGGCCAAGCTGGCCTCGAACTCAGAGATCTGCCTGCCTCTGCCTCCAGAGTGCTGGGATTAAAGGTATTCACCACCACCACTATCCCTGTTTTGGTTTTAATTAGGACAGTCCAAAGCCTGAAGAAGCTTATTGTTTTCATTAAAGGGACCCGAGAAGTGGAGAGATCTTTCCTGTTATCAATAGTAAGCTCAGCTAGAGAAATTTCTAGATACACTCACTTCCCATTTGAGGAACCTAGGGGTCCTGTCCTTTCTTCTCACTTGATAGGACCCTTTAAGGGTCCAACAGCTGATGGTGTCAGAGCTGGTGTGTTTGGGGCACTATTAGTACCAAGGTCTCTGAAGCCTCTGGCTCTGATGGGAGCGCAGAAGCTCTGAAGCCCGTTGATAGTCCTGGCTGTCATTTACTGGGACCAGGAGCCTGACTCTGTCTCATTCTGGAGTTATCTGACTGCACGAAGTGGAGATTCATTCCATGTTGTGTGGAAAGCCAAGGAGGGTCAAGGCTGGCATGCAGGCGTCCCCGGACTGCACAGTGTGGGAATGGGAGTTTGGGACTGTGAGCCCCAGCCCATCTCTCGTGGCTTCAGCGGCCACTCCCCTGGGTGATTCTACAGCTTGTCAAGTTGACAGCTGAGACACAACACGATGACTGCTGGCCTTGCTAAGGGAGCACTGTGGCCCTTCAGTTGTTCTTGGCACCAGCAGCATTGCTTATAACCCATGTTCCGAATTGGTCAAGTTTCCTGGTCGGTTTGTTGAGAGCTAGGGTCTAGTACCTGGAGCAGTACTAACTTCAGGGCAGACCCAGGCCAGGCACAGCAAGAACCAAGCCTGGCTTGACTCCCTACCAACCCACCCCCCTCTTCACTTGTACAGCCCTGGCCCCTCTACAGGCCCCACAAATTGGCCACAGCGTCCTCCGAGGCTACGCCCTGCTGACTGCTCCCACTCCCGGCTGTCCTGGGCAGAGAGCTTGTCCATGGATGGCTTCTGGATGGAGGTGGAGCGGAGCCAACAGAAGGGAGAAGTGAAGGAGGAGGACCGAGGTGGAGGCAGAAGCCAGCTCCTGGAAGGTAAGCCTAGCTGGGCTGCAAGGTGGATGGTAGGGTCTTATCCCAGGGTGAGCAGTGTGTCAGAGCCCAAACATGAGGGAGAGCATGGAGGATTTCCTCTTTGCTTGGACTGTAGTCTCTCCATTGCTCTACCTTCCATCTGTTTTCTATGCTATTCTTGAAAAGGACTATCTGATAAGGCCAATCAGGTTGTCTCTCATTTGATGAAATAACTCAGGAAATACCTGCTGAGTATTTCCTTGTCTGCCAGGTAGTGTTTAGACACTGAGATACAGTGGACAACACTACAGTGAGGCCCTAGCATTCTAGCAGATTCTAAGCAACCCATACAATACTCTTAACTCCCTTTCTCTCTCAGGGTAACAGCAGCCAAGTGTCCCTTCCTCATAAGCCCTCACCATGGCAGCAGAGAACAGCATGAAGCCATTGCTAATACACCTCATTGTTCTGGAGGTGAAAGGGCTCAGCTGGCTCTCCTTCAGTGACAAGCCCAGGGCCATCTGGATCAGCCATCTCAAGGGGCTTCTAACCCATGGTTTTGGCAGCGAGTGTGATCTCCCACACCTGTGGGCTGGGTCTAGACCACCTCCACGTGGCCTCTGTGGATGGCCTAGGCCTCTTCACAACATGGCTTCTGGGTTTAAAGAGTGAAGCCTGAGAAAGAGCCAGCCTTGGAAGATAGCCACCATTGCTTTTGTGCTGTCACCCCGTGTGCACCCACAGTCCAAGACAGGGGAGCCAGACCCCATCTCTTGGTGGGATGACACTTCCCCTAGTCTTCCAGCCTTTCCAGAACTGGCCTGGGGCCTGTCTCTGCCTCGTCTTCCAGTCTGTCACTCCACCAGGCTCTCCTCCATCAAGGCTTCCTTGTGGCTTCTGACCATGAAACCTCACTGCTTCCTCTTTCTAGAATATTCTTTGTCCAGGGTACCTTAAAAGGCGGTCTGTGCTCAGCCAGTTGCCAGGCTCAGAAAGTGCTGCCTAACCTCCCTCTATACCTCTGACAATTCCTAGCCTCTCACCCGATGTTACTCATTGCTGTAGTAACCCTCACTCCTTGACACCACCATAACAGTTGCTCACACACCGCCATCCTCCACTTTCCACCAGACCTTCCCACAGCCTGTGTGCTGGTATCTGGAACAACTGGCCATGTTCCTTGTTTGGCAAGTGAGGGAGTAAAAGGGCGTGACTAGGCTGCCCACGTGGAAACTCTCTGATCTAGCCGAGGCGTCAGCTTCACTGGCCTTAGTTGGTCAAATAGACCATTTGAGACTTTTCTTTTGGAGGGTTGGTTGATGGCCTGGTGCAGGGGCTCCAAGAAATGAAATTTCCCTGGTGAGGCCAGAGGTGGATGTAGGAGACAGGCTTGCCTGCCTTACACTACAGCCAGCAAGTATATCAAAAGCCAAACACGGGGCCGGAGTCAGAGTGCTGGAGGCTGGAGCCTTTCAGACAACAAAATAAAGACAGGGCTTGTGTAGCTCAGGACAGACAGAACCAAGAGTATGCATAGTTCATTATCCTCACTATATTTTAGTATAGAAATGGTGGGGTTTTATACATGTAGATCATTCTGCTCTGCTCATATCCACTCTACCTGATACGCTCTCCTGTCTCTGTTCCTTCTGGTCCTTTTTTTTTTTTTTCTTTCTTTTGAGACAGGGTATCCCTGTGTAGCCTTGGCTGTCATGCGCTCACTTTGTAAACCAGGCTGTTCTCGGACTCACAGAGATCCACCTGCCTCTGCCTCCCCAGCTGCTAGGATCACAGGTGTGCGCCGTCACTGCCCAGCTGGCCCTTTCTGTAGTTCACTCTCCTCTTAGCCCAGCTGGCCCTTTCTGTAGTTCACTCTCCTCTTAGCCCAGCTGGTCCTTTCTGTAGTTCACTTTCTTCTTAACTTCTGTTAAGAGTTAAGGGCTGGGGATGGGGAGCACTCCACTTACAGGGATATTGCTCCTTCACAATAGCTTTAAGCTCATCCCTACTGCTTACTGCTTTTGCTGCCAGGTGGACCTGGGAGAAGGGAGCCCCAAAAGAAGGCAGACTAAAGTCTCAGGCAATAGCCAACATTATTCAAAGCAATCGGACAATTTGTTCTCTGAAGGTTAAGAAGAATCACCTGACTAACGTGTAGAATTACAAGGACACGCTGCCTGTCCCGAAAACATGTTTTTCCATAGAGGCATGTAAACAAGCAGCAATCGCCAGCTGTAAGGAATAATCTGAAGTAAACTCACTCCTATCAGCTACACCTGGGAGGGGCAGGCAAGCACATTCCAAGAACAACCCCGTGTTCTGAAGAGATCGAGGTCACGAGTCTCCTGTCTTGTTATCTTGGAGTTTTCTCACAAGCACTCAGAATTCTCTTTCCACAATTCCATTCTTGGACTCCAAGCAGCTATGAGGCTCAGCTGGGTCTGCCTGCCTTTGAGTCAGGAATCAGAAAGGCTTAAGTTTCCCTTTTTCTCTTTCTTCCCAGTGGCGGCCAGAGCCTAGGCATGCCTCCTCTGGTACTCTGTGCTTTCCAGCCTTTCTCCAATGTTCCCTGCCCACCTCCAAGGTCAGCCTCCATGCCAGCTTAACTCAAACAGCATGTCCTTTTCTCTCTCTACTCTCTCCTGATTTCGGGCAGCTGCTGAGGTATACAGCTTGCTTGCCCTGGGGCTTTTCTTTCAAGGTCTAATAAAATTGTCCTCAGGCTTAAAAACAAAACAAAAAAGTTAAAAGTATGCTCGGTGACTAAGGGGAAATATTTAGTAAACAATCATGCAAGGATAGCAGGATCTAAAGAAACATTATGCATGTCCATTAGTTGCCTTTCTTAGTGCTATGCTAGGATATCTGACAGAAACATAGTCTTTAAAGATTTATTTATTTCTATGTGTATGGGCACTTTACCCACATGTCTATCTGGGCAACGTGTACATGTGGTACCTACAGAGGCCAGAAGAGGGCGTCTGCTCCTCTGGAATTGGAGTTACAGATCCTGTGGGTGCCCAGAACCGAACTGGGGTCCTCTGGAAGAACAGCCAGTGCTCTTAACCACTGAGCCATCTCTCCCGGCCCTTGTTTGGTTATTTTTGAAACCACCGTCTCCTTCCTGACTAACTTGTCCGACACATGTGTTCTTTGCAGCTTCCTTGGTGAACACATGGCTGTTTCCCCCACAATAGAGCCAGTGTCTTCTCGGGGTGGTCAGGGTAGCTGGGGACAGTGGCCTAGGTACAGCGTCTCAGCCCGACTCCCGGCAGCTGAGATCAGATGATGTCATTTCAGCCTGGTTCTGCTATAGGATCCTGGCAATGGAGCCCACCAAAGGCACTATTCCAACATATGAACGTCTTGAACAGAGGGTCCATGCTGTGCATGGCTGGACTTCCATGACCCTGTGGCTGGTGTCTTTGCCAGAACTGGGAGTGGAAGTGATTTTGTGGTTATATATAACCACCAGAGTGTATGGGGCCCTCCCTGGCTTGCTGTCTCATACGAGTTTAAATCTGGATGCCAGCCAGTGTTGTAGGCACTTCCGTTTCTCACCTGGGGAGAATTAGGTGCTGACAGGCCTCAATATGAGCACTGTGGAATCTCTTACTGTCCCCATGAACATATGATTCTATGTGAGGGTTACCTTAGTGAGTATGGCTAAGCCACATATGGGGAGTTCTGTGCGTTTATCTGATGTCCTCCCTCTGTCGTCCAAAGGAGACACTGAATCCCAGTGGCTACAGGACACAGGCCTGTCACGCCTTGTTGGTGGCCTGGGCTTGGACGCTGATCACCAGGGACTCCTGTCTACGCTGACGCAGACCCAGGTGGCTGCTGTGTGCCGCCGGCTAGATATCTACGCCCGCTCTGCCCGAAGGCGACAGAAGGCACCCGTCAGAGATGTCAGGGATATCTTTGGGGTCTTCGCTTCAAGGGTGAGTAAGGGCTGTTAGGTGCTGTCTTTTTGGGGCTTCTGTGATGTCCCTTCAACTCTCGTGTGCTACCGCTGTGTCATGTCCCCAAGCCGTGTGGCAGTGCCTGTGTGCTGCATGGGCCAGCGCATGTGTGTCTGTTGCCACCATGTCCTTGGATGCATCTGAAAGCTGAGAAGTTCTGGTGAAGTCACTACCAATTAAAAAACAACACTTTTCATTGTCACTTGCTTGTTCTGCTGGTACTGAAGCCTGACAAGCTGTGGGCATCTTCTTCCTGGGGTACTTAGGAAGTACACAGCCCTGTGGTTGAAATTTTAGGCATCGAAGCCAGACGGGCCCCTGAGTTTCCCCTCATCTACCCCACTGCTGTGAGATCTAGGACAGGTAACCTAGACTCTCTGATTTTCAGTTGCTCTGCCTGTGAATGGTTCCTATCTCCCCAGGGTCTGTGTGATGCCTTCCCACAGGACTAATTGGGTGCTGTCTGTAATTTGTATAGGAAGTGGCTTCAGAAAATGGGGACTCCGAAATGAAATGGACCCAGATCAATTTGGAGGATTCTGTGTCTCCTGTAGGTAAGTGGCTTTTGTTCTTCAGGGCCCTGGGAATCCAGGCTGCTTAAGCCTCTCTGTGAAGCAAGAGAATGCTTGTCTCTGCATTTTCTGCTGGTTCCTCTCTCTCCCTGAACAGGGGTAGTAGGAAGAAACTCCAAGAGGACAAGTTGTGCCCTTAAATGGACCATTTCCATCAGGCTTATGGTTCTCAGTCCAGAAAAGCTGTAGCAAGGTGGTCACTTTTGTGGGCCTCAAATCTTCCTGGCCCATTGCCCAGGAAGTTCTTACCCGCTTCCTGGACTATGGGCCTCAACTAGAACATCACTTCCTGGACAGTAGGCCTGAGTCCTTAGTCCAAGAACTTGCTTCCAAGTCAAACCTGTCTCTGCTTTTGTCTTAAAGGGTCCACAGATTCTAGGAGACCACAGGAGACAGCTGGGATGGAGGAGGTCTTCAATATGGACTCTGCCTACTCTGAACAAGCTGCAGCGCGTCTACAGAGGGCCCGGCCATCCCCAGAAGGCACCCGTGCCTGGGGCAAAGGCTCCCTACCGGTGAGAATGCCACCCTGAGGTCCTTGGGCACCACCCCATCCTCCGGCTTCTCACACCTGCCAGGCTTCCAGGCACCCAGCAGGGAAGTTGTTGAATCACGTGATTCCTCCTGCAGCTGTTAGCTGGGTGGCTGCTGGGTATCAGGGACCAGGAACGGGGCATTTGGAAGCTCTCTCGGTGTTTCCATAGAGGCTCTTCTTCACCTCGTTCTTTAGAAAGTCATCTCCCATCAACCATCACTCAGTAGTTATTTTGCTTGTTTTTAGCGACAGGGTCTCACTATGTAGCTCTGGCTGCCCTGGAACTCACTATGTTGACCAGGCTGGACTTGAACTCACAGAGATCCTCCTGCCTCTGCCTCCCAAGTGCTGGGATTAAAGGTGTGTGCACCACCAACACCTGTCTTTTTTAGTTATTTTTAAAAATTAATCTTGGTGCCTGTTGGGTAAGAGAGACCCAACTTTTTTGCTTTTAGTGTTTTATTTCCCCAAATACTGAGTTATCTCAGTAAATTAGCATCAATCATTTATATTTAAGACTGAAATTTAGGACCAGCAAAAGGGCTTAGTGGATAGAGGCTTTTGCGGCCAAGCCTGAGAGCTTGAGTTCAGGCTCTGGGTCCCACATGGTAGAAGGACAGAACAGACTGCTTCAGGTTGTCCTCTGACTACCACATGTGTGCTGTGGCACATGTATGAACACACACACATGCACACAGACACACACACACATTATGTATGTGTGTATACATATTTAAAGACAGGGTCTTAGCTGGGCAGGCGTATCTCTGAGTCAAGTCTACAGAGGAGTTTCCAGGATGTCCAGAGCCATACAGAGAAACTCTGTCTCAAAATAGCTAACTACCTAAATACAGGGTCTTAATACATAGCCATGGCTGGCCTGGACTGTCTGTGTAGACAAGGCTGGCCTCAGACTCAGAGTTCTGAGTGGCTTGGCCTCCTGAGTGTTGGGATTAAAGGGCAAGTCGGCATTTGAATCTATGAAGTAGGATCCCATGGCTTATGTGCTATGTTGGCCATAATTATAACACACAGCCGTGAAATAGAATCTGCCACAATAAGTAAGGTGAAGAGTCATTGCCAGGTGGTGGGGCACACCTTGAATCCCAGCACACAGGAGGTAGAGGCAGGCGGGTTCTGTGAGTCAAAAGCCAGCTTGGACGACATAAGTAAGACCCTGTCTCAATACGTACATACATGCTACATACATAATGATTAAGGAAGATGCCTGACTCAACTTCTGGCTCCACATTCAGGGGCATGCCTGTGTGCAGCCACACACATGCACATACCCATGCATACCGCACATGCATGCATGCAAAAAGAAACAAATACAATATTTTCCATCTCCTTTGGGTGCTCTGATGATGGGACACTAAAGGGTCCCAATGCTGAAAGCTGCCCGCAGAGCCCCAACATGGCCTCTAGGTGGAGCAGCTGAGCAACCTTCATTTTTTTTCAGTCACTACCGCCACTCACGGTCTGGAAGAAGAGGAGCTAGGACTGTCTAGGCCGAGGGTTGGGACACAAGCAGAAGCATAGGTGAGATGAACAAAAGACAAGAATATCAGCATGATAAGAGGCCCATGGGTGGTCCCTCTCTTCCAGGGCCTCTTGCTGGCATGTAGCTGGCAACTCACTACGGTGGCCTCGCTGGCAGCTTTGAGCCTGATAGTTTTGCCTGTAGGCGCCCGTTACATTCACGAAAGGCCTTCTGAGGTGGATGCTGTTATAGTTCCAGGCAGCGAACTGGGTTCAGACGTCACCGTCTGGCAAGAGGCAGAGCTCAGACTTGAGTCCAGTGTGGTCTCCAAATGGGGTCACTCCCTGCTTCTCCCACCCAAATGCCTGGGGATCGGTGCACGCCATCTTACACCCCTCCTGACAGGCTGTCTCTAATCCCTTCGATAGAGGTTCAGAATTCCCAAAGGCCGACTGGGTGTGACCAGGATAGGAGACTTGTCTTCGACGGACATGAAGAAGATCCCTCCCTTGGCCCTGATAGAGCTGACGGCTCTCTATGACGTCCTGGGCCTGGACCTGAAGAGGAGCAAAGCTGGGAAGTGGAAAGGCCCAGGTCAGAAAGGCCCATGTGTGGTATGCCTGCCCCTGAATGTGGAAACCGGAACCTGAGTTAGGTGTCTTTCTTAATCGTTATGTATGTATGTATGCATGTGCCAGAGGCCGGCTGTCTCTCCAAGCTTGCCACCTTCTGTACCCCTCTATACCCACCCTTTGCCCTGTGAATTGGAGCTGCCTGCCCCACCACTAAGAAGCACTCAGCTTCTGTGTTTCTTTCTTTTTTTTTTTTTTTTTTTTCAAGTAAAAACAATTCCTAGCCAGTGGCTTGGTGCACCTGTGATTCCAGCTTTTGGGAGCCTGAGGCAGGAGGATCATGAGTTTGTGCCTAGCTTGGGCTATAATGCAAAATTCTGTTTGAAGAATCCAACCAACCAACCAAAAAACTCAATTCATGTTCATTTTACTCCATTCCTATTTGAGTAAATATGGTAAAACACAAAATGGAAACTAAGAAGTAATCACACTCAGTGTTCTCTCTCTGTCTCTCTCTCTCTCTCTCTCTCACTCATGCACACACACACACACACACAAACACACACACCATGTGTATGTGCATATTTTTTCTTCTTAATATGACACAATCACGAACATTTTCCATTTTCCCAGTCCTATGGCCTGCACCTTCCTTTTCTACAGCAATTTCTTCATCCATACATCACAGATGGCATCTAGCCTGGCTCCACATTGTGGCTGTTGTGAGTGAGCAGCAGTAACATGGGCGTGGCAGCGCCCTAGCTCAGCTTCCTGTGGGTGCCTTACTGGGGCCTTATAGGTTTTTCCCCTTAGGTTTGTTTTTATTTTATGTGTGTGAATGCTTTGTCTTTGGGTGTGTCTGTGTGCCATGTATGGGCAGCGCCCTGCAGAGGTCAGAAGGGGGCATCAAATCCTTTGGCACTGGAGTTGTTAGCAACCATGTGGGTGCCAGGAACCTTGGATCCTCTGCAAGAGCAACAGTGCTCTTTAACTCCTGAGCAATCTCTGGAGCTCCAGTTCTGTAGGAGCAATGACTCACCATTGGTTTCCCACAGCGGCTTTGCCGGCGGGCGTTCCTACCAGCCGTGTGTTGTAGGAAGGTTCACTTCTCCCCATTAGCCTTGCCAGAACTTGTCATTTATGAGTTTGGATGACAGCTGTTCTGAATGGGTGGTGTGGAAGCTCAATACAGCTTTGATTTGCACTTCTTTGATTACTAAGGATGTTGAACTCCACCCCCCCCTCAATATTTATTGGTTATGTGTATTTTTTTTTTCTCAAAATGGCCTATTCAATGTGTTGCCATTATTGGTTGCACAGTTTGAATTTTTAGCATTCAATATTTGGAGTTCTTTAATATATACAAATATTAATCCCCAATATTAATTAATATTGGCCGCAATTTTCTCTTGCTTTGTAGACTGGCAATTGTTCCCTCCTCTGTGTAGGTTTTTCTTTTTTAAATTTTATTCAGTCACAGCTGTCAATGTTTTTGCTCTTGATATACTTTCCAAAAAGTCCTTGGCTGTGTCATTGTCTTGCAGTATTTTTCCCTAACCATTTCTGAGTGTAGGTCTTACATTAAGGTCTTCGATGCAGTGGGAGTTTATTTGGGGGGAAAAGTGGCTCTAGTTTAATTCTTCTAGATGAGAAAATCCAGCTTCCTAGACATTTGTGAAGAGGGTTCTTTCCTTCATGTAGGTCAAAAGTTAGATGGCTGTAGCTGTGTGGTTTTGTTCCTGGGTCCCGAGCTCTAGTCCACAGTCTGCGTGTCTGTCTTTTGTCACTATGGCTCTCTAGTGTAGGTTAGCCAGGTGTTGTGAGGGTTCAAGTGTTGCTTTTTCTGCTTAGGGTTTGATTTGGCTGCTCAGAGTCTTTTGTGTTCCCACGTGAACTCTAGGATGGCTTTTTCTAATTCTGTGGAGAATGTCATTGGAGGATGGACAATTGACAAGATAGATGTTTCCACAATACTGATTGTGCCAATCCACAAATGTGGGAGGCCTTTCTGTCCTCTAATGTCTTCCTCAATTCCTGTCTTTAGTGGTTTAAAGCAAATCACAGTTTTTAAGCCATTACACTGTTTTTCTCCCTGTGACCATACTGAAATATATTTAACCATTTTTCTACCAGAGGATAGGTATTATGTCCATATTTTCCCTGGTGTAAAACACAGCCATAGTTATTATATCTAAAAGTTTGAATGCATCAAAGTTTAAATTTTTTTTTCTTTGAGACAGAACCTCACAAAATGTAGCCAGGGCTGGATGTTAGCTTTCTACCCTCCTGCCTCAGCCTAAAGAGTGATAGGGTTACAAGCATGAGCCATTGTGCCCAGTTCTAATTCAGTTCGGATGTATATTATCTTTCAGTAGTGTCTGTGCTCATCTCACCGTCTCACTGTCAGCATTATGCATCGCTGGTGTTGTTGTGGGTTCTTCAGAGACAAGCAGTTGGTGGCTTAGAAAGGTGGGGGGAAGGTCTAGCAGAGAGGAGAAGGCCAGTGGAAGAAAGAATGGAAGAGAAGACACTGAAGGGGTTTGTGTGGGAACAACCTTAAGTGATGGGTCTTGGTCCATGTCTATAGAGCCAGGCAGCTCTGCCCTGGTCTGTTGGTGCACAGAAGGACAGCAGGGCATTTTCCTTTTAATTCTTTTTTTTTTCTTTTTCTTCTTTTTTTTTACCCAGGAGAGAGGGCTGTGCTGTGACATGCCTGATGTCACCATCGCTGAGGCCAAATGCTTCAGTTCCCTGTCTCCCCAGAGCTTGCTCCTCCAGAAGAATGAGTCTGGTTCTAGAACTGATTTGCACCCTCTCCTCCTCTGACCCCCTGCAGATTCTGGCCTTTTTGGCGTGCCCCTTCACAGCCTGCTGGAAGCTGACCACAGAGTCCTCCCCAGCACCCAGGTCCCGCTGTTCCTTCAAGCTGTAAGTTATTTGCTTGCTTAGCCCTTGGAGTGCTGGCTCTAAGGACCGTGTGAGGATGCCTACCACAAGGGGGAAGAGTCTGGGCTTTAGAGGAAGGGACCTGGGTTCAAATTCTGCCTTTGGTATCTGCTAGCTCAGAGACCTTGGTGCAGCTTTGAGCTTCTAGATCCTTCCTCCGACGTCTGTGAACTGGAGTTCTAACAACAGTCTCCTTTAGCTGAGAATTAAAGGAGAAAATGTCTCCGGAGGCTTGCAGAGTGGTGCAGGAAGCTCAGGAGGGCTGAGCTCAGGGCCAGAGCCCTTGTCCAACATGTGCAGAACCCTGAAACCAGGACCACAAAAACAGCAACAAGAGCTCTTGTTACCTGAAGGAACCCTTCTAACAGCCTCCCCTCCCCAGTTTTCATGAGAGACAGTCTCCCCCTGCTCTGACCCACTTGCCATTGGCGGCAGGCTTGAATGATGAATTCTTCCTTTGACAGTTGCTGTCCTGTTTGGAAAAAAGAGGGCTGGACACGGAAGGCATCCTGAGAGTCCCTGGATCCCAGGCCAGGGTCAAGGTAAAGGCTGGTTCTTTTACCTCTAAAGGCTGCCTCACCTCCCCAAGCCCTGTGCTCTGTTTGGCTGCGAGAGACTCCGGGTCCTGGCTGGTCTGTGGCCTGCCTTTGGTATGGCTGTGGGATCCCAGGAGACAGAAAGGTGGCCCAATAGCGCCATGGGCTCTGGGGTCGCACTGTCAACACCTGTCGACTCAGGATGGCATTCGATCCTCAAGGAAACAGTGTCCGGGTGGTGCTGCAATTGTCCCCGCCTTGCAAGAGCCCACTGTAGCCCAGACAGTGAGCAGCTTACAGCTTCACAACTTCTTGTGAGGCGCTTCGGGCAACTTCTTGGTCACCCTCCTTTCTCTAGGGGCTGGAGCAAAAGCTGGAGCGAGACTTCTATGCCGGCCTCGTGAGCTGGGACAAGGTTCATCCCAACGACGCATCTGATTTGCTCAAGAGGTTCCTCCGGAAGCTGCCGGCGCCTCTGCTTACAGCCGAATACCTCCCGGCTTTTGCAGCCCTGCCCAGTGCGTGTGTGGCGGTCCCGCGCATGTGCAGGCGAGGGCGGGAGGGCGGGAGCCCCTGGTCTTGGTGGGAAAGGTGGAGAAGGGCAGCGGCTGGCAGACTGGATACCTGTTCAGAAATGTGTCTTCTGGGGTCTCGAGCTGGTGGGGCTGGAAGTACGCATGTGCGGGCGCACAAGCCTTGAGCATGTGTGCTTGCTTTTTACTAACCAAGTGTGGTGGGCATCTCGACCAGCACCGCGTGGGCTTCTGTCCGAGCATGCTAGCCAGGAGGTAGTGACAAGCCTTGTGGTAACAGTCCTGCTAGGCTTCTCCCCCACCCCCTCCCCAAGAGGCTAGAGTAATGAGGGAGCATCTCTGAGTTTCTTTCCCCCCCCCCCCCCCCCCCCCGCAGACATTCCTGACCTGAAACAGCGCTTGCAGGCTCTACACCTGCTGGTCCTCCTCCTGCCGGAACCCAACCGCAACACCTTGAAGGTAAAAGTGACTCTTAGACCCTCGCCTCAGCCCTTGCCTCAGTGCGGGCTCTGAAGGTGCTCATCCTTGTGTTTATGCCTTCATCACACAGTCATGCCAGGTGTGGGCGTGGTGATCACCTGACCACCCACCCACTCCTTGACTGAGAGCCTTCCCCAAAAAGCAGGAGAGTTCTTAAAGCGCATCTGATCTGCTAGGTGCTGTGCTGGCATCTTGGGGTGGGGGGGGGGGTTGGGGGAGGCAAGGGCTTTGTGTGCTGAGAAGCCTGGTGAGCAGGGAAGAGCGGTTCTGACCACTATTCTCTGAGGACCTTGTGCATCTCAGAATTGGGCTGGACCAGTCAGCGCATTCCCAACTCGGCTGCTCGCTGTCCCTTTCAGATGTGGAGGTGTGGTGTGGTGCTGATGTTCTATTGAGAGCCAGTTTGGGAAATGGTCCCCTGGGGTCCTTCACTGTGTGGTCTGGGAATGGGTGCTGAGGGCTGGGGCTGGGGTTGGGAGTAGCCTTGGCTTGGCTCCCTGCTCCCCACCTCCTGGCTGTCCTTGGATTTGACTGATGGGCCTGTAAGGGGCCTGGGATCTTCATCTTGGAATTTCTACTCCCTGTTAGTCACTGTGAATGATGAAGTATTTTGTTCGATTATTTTGGGTGCCACAGGAGCTAGCACAGGGAAATCATAGGATAGAGGATGTGGGCCTCTGTAGGTGCTCAGTGTATGCCCTTCCTTTCTTTCTTTCTTTCTTTCTTTCTTTCTTTCTTTCTTTCTTTCTTTCTTTCTTTCTTCCTTCCTTCCTTCCTTCCTTCCTTCCTTCCTTTCCTCTTTCCTTTTCTTCTTTCCTCCTTTCTTCCACTTTCCCTCCTTTCCGTCACTCACTTTTCTCCTTCCTACCTATTGTCTTTTCCTTCACTTTTCATCCTTCCTTCTTTCCTTCCTTCCATCCTTCCTTCCCCATTCCCTTCTTCTTCCTCCCCTTCTTTCTATCTATGTATTATCTTTTCATCTATGTATCTTTCCATTCCTCTCTCTTCTTCTTCTTTATTATGTGGCTATTATGACATTCTCAAGTCAGATTCTTTCTCTGTAAAATGAGCCCAACAGTAAAACTTCCTGTGTAGCATCTCTGCCAACTTATCATCAGAGAGCTGGCAAACCCATGCCAGAGGCTAGCTGTTGGGCCAGGGGCACAAGGTGTCAATAGATGGTAGCTTAGATCCACCCCCTTCTGCCCAGACTCCAGTAAAGAAGGGCTGCTGTGGGTGGGAAGTCCAAGGCTGTGCTGGAAGGTAAGGCAGGTTCTGTGTCTGCCCCTAGGCACTCCTGGAATTCCTCCGGAAGGTGGCAGCCCAGGAGCAGCACAACAAGATGACTTTGTGGAATGTTTCCACGGTGATGGCACCCAATCTTTTCCTGCCCCGAGGGCGGCCTCCCAAGCTCCCCAAGGGTGAGAAGCAGCTGGCGGAGGGAGCAGCTGAGGTGGTGTGCATGATGGTGCGGTACCAGGACCTGCTTTGGACGGTGAGTGATGGCGGTGGCAGCAAGCTCAGGGCCATCCATCTCAGTTCCCAGCACCCTGTGCTGGCCTGGAGCAGCTGTCTACTCCCTGCTGTCTATCATGGGCGCCATGTTTCTTGTCACTAGTTAAGGCTCTTCCTATGACTCCGAGGGACTGTGCAGAGGCTGTTCTTTTTCTTCCCTGCATTCAAGTCTAAGAAGTCTACATTTGAAAAACAAGCAAAGAAGTGGGGGCACGTAGCACAGAGGGGGACCTGGGCCTAGTCTGCTGAAGCTGAAGGTGGGACAGGAGCCCTGAGTATCCATCACTCTATCACTCAGTATTCCCACCACCCAACTGGCACCATCCACACGGGCTGCTCAGCCCATTTCCTCATGCCATTAGTCTCCTATTCATTTGCCCACTTGCCCAAACATCTTCCACCCACATATCCAACTACCTATTTATCCACTTGTCAGTCACATCCCTACCCATTTGTCCAAACAATCTCCACTTACCCACTACTCACCCATGGACCCACTAATCTAGCTCTCTACCTCTCTTCTACCCATCCTCCATTTTACCCATCGCCCACCTGATCGTCCATCCATCATTTACCCACTCATCTACCTATTCACCTATCTACCCATCCATCCATTATGCATTTATCCACTTAGTCATCCATCTACTCAGCCACGAGCCCCCCCACCCACCTACCTAAAATCTATTCATCTACCCACGTATATACCCACCTATCCATTCGTCATTTTACCTGCATACTCATCCATCTGTCATGCACCCTTCACTCGCTCGCCCATCCATCTACCCCAGTCTACCCACTCGTATAACCCATACACCTACCCACCTTCCATCCTACCCCTCACCTCATCTCCGGATTAGATTTAGCCCTCTAGATCCCAGCAAACGCATTCTTCTCTCTGAGTATCCCCAGATCCTCCGTCCTGAGTCAGCTGCTGTTTTAAATGCATCGGGAGTGGGGGGGGGGAGGCTAGAGAAATGGCTCAGTGCTTAAGAGCACATACTGCTCTCTCAGAGGACCTGGGTTCGATTCTCCAGCACCCACATGGCAGCTCACAGCACTCTCTAACTCCAGTTCTAGAGGTTCTGATGCCCTCTTCTGCCCTCCATGGGCACCAGGCACACACTTGGCGCACACATACCTGCAAGCAAACCGTTCAAATGCATCCTGGGCTTCCTGCCTCTGGGTTTCTGCTCAAGCCCTTCACCCCGCCAAGCTGTTCTTTCCCTTTCTCCGTAGGCAGAGCTTGGTGCCCTCTGCTCAGTCTTTAAAACTCAGTTCAGGGTCAGTTCTTCTGCTGAAAGTTCCCTACCTGACCCTAGACTCCCATAATTCCCTTTTCTCTGCGCTCAACCCTCTGAAGTTATATTGCTACTAAGACAGTGAATTACAATGTTGTAAAGATTCATTTTTCTTTTATTTGTACGAATGTATGCGGGCGCACCACTCATGTTCCTGGTTCCTGCAAAGGTCAAAAGAGGACTTCAGCTCTCTCAGAAATGGAGTTAATATGATTGTGGATGCTGGGGACAGACCCAGGTTGTCCGAAAGGGCAGCCAGAGATCATAACTGCTGAGCCACCTCTCTGCCTGCTACACTTTTTCCTGTTATAGGAAGTTTTTTTTTTTTAAGGGATTTTGAAAAATACGACTTTTTGTTTTTCTAAGTTTCAGACAGCACAGATGTATGCAGCGAGATGAGACAAATCTCCATCGCCTTCCTCAGGTGTCACTGTGGTTAGGTTTCTATACCCCATAGTCTTTCACACCTTGGAAAGCCCGTCTCTGGATCCCGAAATCTTTGCTAGATTGTTGCTGCGCAGTGGCGCTGACCTGCAGTTCCCCAGGAACTCCCCAGGTCCACTGCTTGGGGTTCCCAGAGCCGGAGGCCAGTACAGATGTGTTTGGGAAACACCTCTGCCTGGTGTGCCAATGAACAGCTTCTCTCAAGCACAGCTCTGTTCAGAGGCGCAGGGACCGCTCCAATCCGGAGTCTAATACTCCGGATTCCTCTTTGGGGCTAAATGTCTAGCCCTCTAAACTAAGGCTCTGGCAGCCACGTAAAGGAGTCAGTTTCCAAGCCCTGTGTGGGAGGAGCCACGGTGGCCCAAATGGGGCCTTGCACCAGGCTGAGATAGGATTCTTTCTGGACAGGTCGCCTCTTTCTTGGTAGCCCAAGTGCGAAAGCTGAATGACAGTAATGGCCGTCGTTCCCAGCTCTGTGATGGGGGCCTCAAGACTTGGCTGCGGAGGACACACGTAGACAGAGACAAGGCTGGGGACGGGCTTGAGGCGGTGAGTGGTCCCCACACCAGGCGAACGGAGAAAAGGACAGAAGGTGGAGAAAAAGGACCTGGCTGCGGGGGAGGGTATCCCGATGATTTCTCTCTTCCCCGCCACCAAGCTGCCAGGCATAAGCGTCTGCGGTCGTCAGGGGGCGCCCGAGCAGCACCGCAGAGATAGAGGAGGCGGTGCTGGAGTCAGGCTGAGGGATGGGAAGCTGGCCTGGTTGGGGGTTCTCCTGGAAGCCACTGACTCACCCCTAATTTTAGAAGGTCCTTTGTGTGCCTGGGGTGGGGTTCGGAAAGCGGATGGGGCCGCTTTGTGGGACAGGGATATGGAAAAAACGAGGAGCCTTTCCGGAAAACAGACGAGGGAGGAGACTTCAACACAACACAACCCAACACAAAGTGGAGTGTGTGTGTGTGTGTGTGTGTGTGTGTGTGTACGCGCGCGCGCGTGTGCACATGCACATCTGTATATAGCTTAAATGTGCTCCTGTGTGTTCACGAATTTGCACACCTGGATGTGTGTGTGGGTTTGTGTCAGCCTGTGGTGTGCCCTTGAATACCCGTCTAAGTATACATGTGTGCATGAATTCCAGGGATGAAAGAGCCTTTTGTTCTTCATCTCCACCATCTCCATCTCCAGACTCCCAAAGTGGCAAAGGTCCAGGTGACCTGGCCCAGCATGGATCTTCTGCAGGTGCCTCTGAATCCTAGCACCAGAGTGACCCACATCTTGAAGCTTTTCACAGAGCACCTCAATCCTGGGTCACCACCTGAAGAGGGCAGTGAGGACCCAAACAGCATTCTCTCAGAGTAAGCACCATCTCCCTGAGCCAGGAGCCTCTGCTTCTCCCCTGCTGGGGGAGGGGAGAAGGAGGCTCAGTCCTTTCCAGCTGAAAAAGCCATGAGGAGGTACACAGGTCCTCATCTGGCCCTGTTCTTCCCCTTTCTGTGGTGGTCACAGTGGGTTCTCCATCCCTTTTAGAGCTTCTTGGCTCCGAATGATAATGAAAAGGGCCGCCATTTGTACTGATTTAATATATATTTAATGGCTACAATATGTCAGACAGCATGTGGAATGCTAAAACGGTAACAAAAGGACTCAACAGAGGGGCTGGGGAGACAGCTCAGTGGTTAAGAGCCATGACTGCTGTGGCAGGGGGGCTGAGTTCAGTTCTAAGCTGCCCAAGTCAGGTAGGTCACAACCACCTCCAACTCCAGCTCCAGGGTGTACAACTCTGGCCTCCACAGACACCCACACACATCTGCCTGTGGGTCACTCCCCACTCATGATTAAAAATAAAGAGTCAGCAGTGCTGCACACACCTTTAATCCCAGCACTCGGGAGGGAGAGGCAGGCAGCTCTGTAGGAGTTTGAGGCCAGCCTGGTCTACAGAGCAAGTTCCAGGACAACCAGGGCTACACAGAGAAACCCTATCTCCAAATTAAAGAAAAAAAGAAATAAAGAAAAGATAGATCTATCTATATGTAATCTATCTATCTATCTATCTATCTATCTATCTATCTATCTATCATCTATCTACCAGCAGAAGTCCTGGCCTTCCTGGCTTATACCACAAGAAAGAGACAGACATAAATCAAGTAGCCAAGTCCAGTTAAAAACAATATTGGCTTTTATAAGAAATACATGGAGCAGCATGAATGTGCAATGAAATGCCTGCTATAGTCTGAGGAGCAAGCAAGGCTTCTGGGCACAGAAAACTGTATGTGCAAAGGTCCCAAGGAAACAAGCAGAATGGCCAAATATAGAGTGGGTGTCATTCCCTTGGGAGCTTCCTTCACGGGGCTGGCACAAAGCCCTGCAGAGCGTCAGCCCTTACAAAGTGTCTGACCCAATTCCTTCTGATACAGAGGAGATGGGGGTAGGGAGTGTCCAAAGCCACAAAGCAAATCAGGGGACGATTCTGGAGCTGAATTCACAATTATCATCTGATAGTTATCTGCTTGTATCATTATAACCCACACATAATCATACAATATCAATATTCCTCCTTGATGCAGAATCTGCCTCTCATAGCAGGGTCCTCCTCTCATTTGTCACCCTGGTCTCATCCCTTCGAAGCCCACTGCTGGTGCCTAGCAGGAAGGGACCTTGTGGCAGAGTACCTGGAGCTGATATTTTCTAAGGACTGTCTCCCTGCCTCTCCTTGCCCCTGGGTGCTGGCTGCTTTCATTGGCTCCAGCTCTCTCAGAAGGTCCTTATGCCCTTCCTACTGGGACCACATATCCTCACGAAGGCCCCTTCCAGGCCTGAGATAATCTTGCCTTCTCTAGCAGAGCCCATCAGTTTTGTTTTGTTTTTTCCCCCTCTGTCTTACAGCAACACAAAGCCGGCCAGCTTCCTTGTTTATGAAGTTGGAGGGAATATTGGTAAGTTCCCCTGTGGGAAGTGAGTCCACAGCAAGGGCACCTAGGAAAGGTCAGCATGTGCCTTTCCATTGTTGGGCCTCTATCAACCCTGCCGTCAGGGTCAAGATGAGCATGGCAAACTCAGGAACTCTTCCTGCATGGGCAGCTCCACTCGGTTGGAGGGAAGCTGGCTGGTGTTTGGTGCAAAAACTGTCAGTGCTTACACGGATGTCTCAAGGACACTCTAGGGAAAGGCAAGCTCAGCCCTAATGTCTTTAGGAATGCTGTAGGCCCTCAAGCATCCGTCTCCAAGGGTCCTCGCTTTGTGAGAACCAGGGACAAGCACTGATCCTTAACCCTGAATGGGCCATTCAAATCACCTCCGTGCATGTGATGACAAACGGCTGTGTCTTGTGAACTCATGTTCCTAAAAATTTCCCCATGTGGCTGAAGCTGCTAGTTCAAGGACAAGACTACCCTCAGAGAACTCTGGCCAGGAAGGGGAGACAAGACAAGGTCCAGGAGTTTTTGGTGACTGAAAGATAGCTTTGTGTGGAAGGGGTGGAGGAGACTAGGAAGGCCTTTCAGGAGCCTGCCAGATCCACCAGGGGGCTCTGCATGGAGGCTGCAGGTTTTCAGCATCTCTGTGGATGCCTGTGAAAGAGGGGTTAAATTTCCCAGCAGCACATCTTCTACCTCAGAGAAAGGGGTAACTGTAGCCACAGTAAGGCTCCCGTAGCCAGAGGGTGGTACCTTGCCTGGTGAGAGGCTCTGGGAAAGATAACAGCATCTTTCCCAGCCGCACTGTCAACCTCTGGGATCCCTTCTTCCCACAGGTGAACGTCGCCTGGACCCAGATGCCTACCTCTTAGATTTGTACCGTGCCAACCCCCATGGCGAGTGGGTCATTAGACAGAGCCCTACCTAAGCCTAGAATCCTTGAGAAACAGCCTGGAACATCAGCTGGGAGCAGAGAGGTTCACACGGAGGTCTTCCTCCAAAGTCCCTCTTCCAGGAAATACCTCTCCTATGCCAGGCCTGCTCCTCATCATCCTCACCATGCATACAGAGCCCCAGAGGAGCCTCCCAGGCACCTGCATCTCCACAGGGCATTGTCCACAATTTCCAGACACAAGTGGAATAAAAACTGTGACGTCTCTCTCAGGAACAGGTGGGAGTTCCCAGAAAATATTGCTTTGGAGGCAGCCCCACAGCGTGGAGTGGGGAATCACTGTGACTGGGACAACCCCTTGACTTCTCTGAGACTTTGAAGATGCCATGGACAGCTCTAGGAGAGCTGGACAGAGGACAAACTTCCCTTTGCCCCCTTGTGTCTTAAATGCTATTTTACAGAGCCTCGTCATTTTTATAGCGTATGTAAGTTGCTTCAACATTAAACACACAACTAGCTCAATGCACTTTCTCTTCGCTTTCCTCGCCTGGCTCACAGTGGGTGTTGTCTTTCTGGCAGATGACTGGAGCTGGGAGATGAAACACTTTGCTGTGCTTCCCCACAGGCTCTGGCTCCGGTTATGCCTTGAACTTGCCCCACTGAAGCAGGGCCAGGAGGAGCACCCAGAGTACAGAGGCCCAGTGGAGGAAGTACAGCAATTGCTGAAGGGCAAGGATGAATCCCTAGAACTTCTAACACCTATAACTTATGACCCCAGCTCTGCCTCCCCTTTCTTCTGCCCCAAGTCAGCCTTCTCATCTGGGAAAGTGAAGTCTCGTTCATTCATTCATTCATTCATTCATTCATTCATTCATCCATCCATCCATTCATTTGCTTACTCAATAACGAATGTGTTGAGCATCTTACTTATACCAAGAGTTTTACAAACTCCATCTCCACAATACTCCAGCGTTTCCATTTCAGCTCTTCTCAGTTGACTCTCAGAGACTGTAAAGCAAGTAGTGCTCCCAGGATTCTGGAGAGTGAGCCTATGAGGAAGAAGGGGAGGCCCCGTTAGTGGGTGCATTATCAAACAAGTCGCCACGGCAGGCAAACAGTTTGGTTCTGCTGAGGGGCCCTGAGAAACAATGTAGACAATGTCCGTCAGAGTCACTCCATCCCAGGGGTAAAGAACAAGGGCGGTGAGTGCCTGGGGAGCACAGGATACAGGCTCTCCTGACTATGATTGGGCCTTGCTCCCATACACCTCCAGGCTGCCTGGTAGAGTGGGCTCTGACTGCCCAAGAGCTCTTGACTAGAGATGCAGGTGCAGTTCAAAATGGCTACCGCACACTGGTTCCTTGAATGCCGGAGGGACAGAAATGGGTGGGCACTGATGGTGTCTGTATGGCATGCTGATGGTGGTAGTAATAACAGTTGTGATGATGGCGGTGATAACAGGAGGGTGGTGATGGTTGATAGCATACAGATGATGATGATAAGGGTGGTGATCACAATAGGATGGTGGTGGGCATGATGATAGCAATGATGGTGGTATCATGGCAATAATGGCGGTGCTTGTGATGATGGCGATGGTGGCAACGGCGGTGATGGTGGCAATGATGGCGGTGCCATAGCAGATTTAAATACCTTTTTTATGTGTTTGGGTTTTTGCCGGCATGTATGCCTGTGCATTGTTTACATGTTCACAGAGACCAGAAGAAGGCATCTGATCCCCTAAAATTAGAATTACAGATGGCTGCCGTGGGGGTGCTTAGAATCAAACCCAGGTCCTCTGAAAGAGCAGCGAGTGCTCTTCACCACTGGGCCATCTCTTGGCCCCAGATTTAAATAACGTACTGGCTTTATTTGTGATTTCAGAAATGAGCAGGCTTCCAAACCAGAAGGGACTTCTGAACTCAGGAATTGAGTATGGTCAGACACATGGACAGAAAACAGAAATGGCCTAAAGACAGCTTAGCTGCCCTCAGGTTGGCCTCTGCCCTCCTAAGTCAGCCGATCATGGGTACCCGAGGGACCCTCAGCTGCTGTGGTGGTACTCCTCTGTGATGTACGACACACTCCTAAGTTAGTCCCTCGTGGAGCAGTGCTAAAAAAAACCAACAGACTTGCAACGCAGCAGAAAACACTTCTTCAGGCCTGAATCCTATAACGGTAGTGGCGGCAGTTGACACAATTTGATGTCAATGATGACAGTGGTAGTGATGGCAGTTGGTGATGGTGATAAGGTAATGGGTAACAGTGATAATGGCAGTGAATGGTGATGACAGCAAGATGGTGGTGGCGGCAACTGATGACGATGGTGGTGAGGATGGTTGGTAATGTTGGTGGCGGTATTTGGTAAGGGGAGGGGGTGATCAGGGTTGATCGTGGTGGCGGTATTTGATGAGGATAACGGTGGTGGTGGTAGTAGATGATGAAGATGATGACGATGATGACAACAATGATAATCTCACGGCTGTGGAAACTGAAAACCTACAGGCATGTCAGTGCTTAAAGCACTGTCCAGATCTGAGCTGATCTCTCGGCCTCCAGGCTTCCTGTGTCCGTGACTCCATCTCTCCACAGTCGCCTGCCTTTGCACAGACACATGCGCCTCCTTCCAGGCCTCCAGAAAACCCAAGCCCACCCCTGCTCCCTGCTTCTGAGCTTTTGCCCTTGCAGTTATCACCACCTAGAATCCTTTCCCATGGCCAGCCCTTTCCACCTCCGGGTCAAATGTCCCTTCCTCCAAGAGGCCGTCCACGTGAAGTTGTTTTCTTGTGCTGTCTGTCTGTCATCTCATAATGCGTATTCCCACCTTCAATTTCCTTCTTAGCATTTGCCGCTGCCTGAAATAGTCCTGTTGAACGAGTTTTTCACCCTGTCTCCCTGACTGGGGAGCAGCTCCTCTGAGGCAGAGAGACCACGTAGGGGTTTTGTCTGTCGCCTTTGTGGATTTGATGGCACTGTAAGTGCACAGTGAAGATTGGGAAACAGGATGAATGAACGCACGCTCAGTCTTTGTCCTCTGTGCCTTTGCCAGTCTGCTCCAGAACCCGCCGCCGCCTCCACCTGGCCTGATCTGACCTGCCTGTTTGGTAGACTTTGATGAGAAAACTGGCAAGTGTCCGTAGCCTTTTCACTTTTCAACGGATCTCCCTGTTATTAAGGAGAGCCAGGCAGCCCGAAGTGGTGACCACCGCTGTGTCTACACGGGTCTTAGCACCTGCACTGGTCTCCTTGCATACCTCATTCTCTTAGTCACCCATCCAGGATGACCAAATTTCTGTAGCTAGGAAGTTTGCTAATCCTGGCAGGAGGCAGGCACAGGCCCTGGACGCTCCGTGGGAGCCCCAGTTTGGCTGTGTGCTCCTACTGCAGGAAGTGAGCCCTGGCTGTGCTGAACGATCCCGGTTTAATCACACGTCAGCTGCCCCATTCATCTTCAGTGCTATCTGAGAACTCATCATTTTCCACCCAGTGGAATCTCCATGATTGATGATCCCACAGCCACCCTCCCTGCCGGCTTAGCATAACTCACAGTGGGGGCCTTGCTTCTCCAGGCTCTGCAGTCTGGGCTGGAGTCCTGATTCTCTTCCAGGGTGTTGTTAGGAAATCGAATCGCATCCTCCTCCCCCAATCCATACTTTGGAGCTCTGACCGCCCCAGGGTGGACTGTATTTGTACATGAAGCCTTTAAGGCTGGTTAATTAAACTTCCAAGAGACCCTGGTTTAGGGTGCTAGTCAATGGTACTGATGCCCTGGTGATAAAAGAGGCACCTTGGGAGTTCTCTCCCCACCTGGAACATACAAGGGAAGGCCAGGTGAAGACTCGGAGAAGAGGCAGACAGCCTCACGGCAGCAAGATAGCCCTCACTAGGAAGCACACTGCCACCGCCTAAGGCCATCTACAAGTCCGAGATCTCCACGCTTCTGTCTAGTAGACGGTGTGCCCTCTGCAAGGGCTGGCATTCATTGCCAAGGTCCCCGTAGCGGGGCATCTCCACCCGCACACTTTTGAGGGGAAGAATGATGGAAAGGACAAAGGGTGGAAGCGATGCCAGGCGGAAGGAAGTTGGGAGTAACCGGGTGGGCAGGCACGTGCTTCCCTGAGAGGCAACGCTTAGCAGGGCTGGGGGGGGGGCTGGGCACAGCTTTGGGTTCCATTCCACCTGTGCAGGCTGCAGATGGTCTGCCTGACTAGCCTGTGCTCCCCGGTGTCCCAGAGACCGTCTTCAAGTTGCAGAGAGAGCAGTGAGGATGGAGTGAGGGGTCTACAGTCTCTCAGCAGCTGCGGTGAGTGCCCTCTGGAAAAGGCAGGGAAGGACCCAGCCTGTGCGGAGCTCAAAGACTGGACAGGCAGACTGTCACGCCTACCTGGCACAGAGCATTCCAGTCGCATGTACAGGCATCTTGGGCGCCCAGGGGATGTGCTGGGATGGGCCGACGAGACATCAAGAAGGAGGTGATGCTCGAAGAGATTTTAAACTGCCGTAAAGGACCAGCCATGGGGACTGCAAATAGAAGGAGCTGGAAAATTCTGGCCAGAGCCGCCTTGCAGTTCCCCAGGGTGTATGAGTCAGAGAGGTCTTCTGGCTACCTAGGGCAGAGGGACAGCTCAGCCCACTCCATGGCTTTCTTTTTCGGTTCTCCCACTCTACCTCCAGTCCCGCTTTCTCCTTCCTCCCTCCCCCCGCCCCACAATCTGCACAGGAGGTGGGGCTTCAGGGCTTCGGGGCTTGGGGGTCCAATCCAGCCAGACCTACATTGAGACCCAGAGCTGTTGCCCAGCAGAGGACGCAGGTCAAACTGAAGCCACCAGCCCTCATCCTCAGTGCTGAGGGAGACCAGATAAGCATCTCTGGTCAGTGACGTGGCCTTCCAACAAGCAGCAACAGAATCCCCTCTCTGTCGTCGGCTACAGGATACCAAATCAGGGCGAATTTCCTCTTGAGTCTGCAGTCCGATGGAGGAAGAAATGTTAGCATGCGGCATCATACAAACCGCTGTGTGGTTACAATTGGCAAATGAGATGGGGGGGGCGGGAGTGCGGTGGTCCCACAATGTGTGAGGTGGGGAAGCTGAAACAGGCCTGGAGTCCCCGCCCCGCCCCGCCCCCGCCCCGGCAACCTATGGAGAGAGGGGAGCTCTCCCAGGGATGTGGCAGTTAAGCATAGTGAGGTTTAAGTGAGATTTGCCGGTAAGCAAGCGACAGGTGGAGGGGCACCCTCCTCCCTCCCCCCCCCCCCCCCTTCCTCCTTCTCCACCGTGGCAAGCATGGAAACAGTACGCTTGAAGCTACCGCGAAGGGGAGTCGCTTCCTGAGACAGGCGCTGCTAGTTTGGGGGTATCCTGAGTGGTGACAGGCCAGAGAGCTGCCTGGGAAGGAACAGGAGGTGCATGCATTCCAGAAGGGGTTGAAAGAAGGAAACCACCAACTTGAAATTCTGAGTTTAAGGGCTGCCGCAGCTCCCCCTAAACACAGTCCCCAAGAGCC